TTGTGTACCTCAAAAATGAACCAGTACATTCATTTTCAAATATTACTTTTATTTTAAACCCTTCTTTTCATTCTACCATGAGGAAAGACACACTACCATACTGAAAATGCTCTCTTATAATTCCAGGAGAGGTACAAATTAAAGAAGGAAACAAGGGCCAAAAATATAGATTTGGAAAGGATACAAGGAGAGAAAAAAAATGCAATGTGGAAATAACGGGAAAAACTTGAGCACAAAACAAATAGGAAAAGGAGGGTGAAGTAAAAAGGGAGTTTCACTTAATGCCTAAACAATCCAATCTTTATTCATCAACTAACCTGACCAGCTGCAGGAAATCATGGGAAATCCCCATCTCACCCCTCTGGGACTACACTGTTCCTTCTCTGCATTCTTTGTGGGCAAAACAAAGATTTATTTGAAAGTATCTCGGTAGACTGAGGCTCGCTAAGTGCACTTGTGAAATATGACTCACAACAGGTCAAGGTCAGTTTTGTATCTCACACTGCCAGCTTGTTAATCTCTAGACTTTATAAAGGAGAGAGAGCGCACCTAAGTCTCGTCACAAACCATTGCCGGTTGGTGACAGAATTTGTTCTAGGTTCCTTCAATCCACAGATTGGCACGATGATTTTACCTTATGCTGTTATATTCATGGGAATTGTTTGTGAGTATTAATGCTGATTGCTCTGCTGGCATTTATCTGAACATATCGCTCAAACATGTTATTCACTGCTAAGCATAATTATTTATCTTAAATTCTTCAATTCTTAAAGCCCAGCACATCAATTAAACTTTCTTTGGATTACAAAGTGACTACAATTCAAAAATATTTCGGTGATTGATAATGCTTTGGAATTTTTTGAAGTTACGTAAAGAGTTTTAGCAAAGTACATTTTTTCTGTCTTTTTTGATAGACACAATCCACGTTCTTTCATTGCTAATTCTCTCCATCACTTCTCTGCTGTTGCGTATTATTACAATCATTGTTCTTTCTATATTTGTTATAGCTCTCTAGTTGCAGTCCCTCTTTCTTTGTTTTTTTCTTTCTTCCCTTCTTTCTTTCTTTCTTTCTTTCACGCTCTGTCTCTCATGTATTGCAGCCTTTGCTCTCTCTTATATAATTGCTGTCCTCCACCTCCTTTAGAGTTATTCCTATAATCCAATATCTCACTATCTTTCTCTATTTTCTGTATAATCACAGTGTCATCTACCTCTGTCCTGTATAACTGCTGTTTTCTCTCTCTCCTGGATCAATTCTTTTCTTGCCAGCCTCTACTCAAGTTTGATGTGCTCACTTTCCACTGTACACTTCTAGTTGTCTCTCTTTTAGGAAGGTAGGAACATAGGAATTTAGAATGGGAGTAAGAAAATCAGCCCTTCAAGTCCTTTCCACCATTTAACATGATCATGGCTGATCTTATCCCACTCTCAACTCCACTTTCCTGTTTGCTCCCCACAGCCCTTTACCTGCTTTTCGTCAGAAACATAACTATTTATTTCTTGAATCTGTTGATAGATTTTGCCTTCACTGCACTCTGGAGCAATGAGTTTCACAGATTCACAATGCCCTGAGAGAAGTAGTTTCTCCTCGTATCAGTTTTGGAACTACCTCCTCTCATTCTATATCTATGACCTCTACTTTTCTGTACACTCAGTACCTCGTATTCTTCCTCTGTTATCACTGTTCTCTCTCGATTCTTACTCATGTCGTTTGCTTTGATTGCTTTACGTGTTCTCTAAAAATGAAATTACTTGGCCATCGCCAACTTTCAGACTACATGTCCTTGCTGTGATTGGATTGGTTACCATATCTCTTACACATTTCATTGTAACCCACACCAGGATGTTCTGAGCTTCTGAAATTCCAAATAACTGTTAAATTTTATTTTTATTCTCTCTCTTTTCTTTTTTCCACTTGCATATTAGCTGTGCATGATATCTCTCTATTGTATAATCAATACCTTTAAATCTCTTATATAACTGTTCTGTCATTTTCAATTATAATTATTATGCTTTAAGCCTTTTTCTTTCTCTCCTGTTAAACACTGCCTTCAGTTCTCACATTTATAATCAGTATCCTGTAATAATAAGTATGGCACTCTTTGACCCTCCCCCACTGTGCTCTCAGCCATATACAATGGCTAGATTCCTGATCTCTCTCCCTCTTGCTTTCTGTTTCCTATTCTATTTCTATGTTGTAATTGTTGTTAACCTTTCTTTTCCAGCCCTTTCATTTGCCGGTATGCCAAATATCACATGGTGTACAGTCTCCGAAGCAGAATTATCAAAATGCATTGATTTGAGAAAATCAATGGCAGGTGAACCCTTTAACTTCCAATGTATAATGGAAGACAGTGATGAAACCTGTCTGACTGCAATCAAGGTAGGGATTTACTTTATTTAGATGTGGTCTAATAATGTTGCTACAGAGTTACCAAGCCTGCTGAAGCAGATGTTTCCAAATCAATGGCAACAGCTCCAATTATTATAATTCAACAATGCCCCCTGGATGACTGTATACATTGTTGGCAGATTCTCTGTTTCATTGAATGAGGTTATGGTACTGAAGAAACTTGCTCAGAGAGAGTGGCCCAGGTGTCATTTTTTTATAACCTTATAGATCATGTCTCGCCAATATCTTGATGCTAACTCAACCTGTTTTGAGCTGATGGTGTATTTCATACTTTATCTCTCACTTGCTGTGCACAGGTGATTAGGAATTGCAAAACTGAACAACACAGCAGCTCTTAAAATGCTGTAACTTGTTAAAACGTTGGTGGGGATGGGAAGATGGTGGAGGCGATGACAGAAAAGTGCATTTGATATTTTTGAAGGCACAGTGGTGAATAATGACCACTGACTCGTATTCTGAAGTGTTTATAATTAGATACCACATAGGTCATGGAATTGATATAGCTGCGCCTAAATCCTGTGTGGTGTTTTTCTCTCATGATCAGCCTGCTGAACACGATGTGGTTTGTTCTGTTGATGCCTCTTCCCTGACAGCAATTGGAGGCTGCCTCTATATTCAAATCCATTTGTTTTGTGGCAACTTTTCACAATTTATTCTGCCCATCCCAAATGAATCATTATATTGTTGAATCTCTGGATCCAAATTTGGCCTCAATCGCTGATATGATAGTTGTGCATTCAATACACTTGCTTTGTTGGCAATGTAGGTGTTGGCTTTTATTTATTGACGATGCATTTCTTCTAATTGTTTTCTGTAAGCAAAGGGAGCATATAGTGGCTGTGTGTCATTGTCTGCCCTTTCCTGCTTCTTTTTCAAATCTGTTCTGCTATCCAATATGACTTTAACTAGCCTTGGGATTCAAAGACACTTGCTCCCCATATCTCTTAGTTTCCTAAGATGCCAATAATCTGTCTATTTTAGCCTCAAATGCATCCAATGATTGTGCATCCACAACCTCCTGGGGTGGAAAATTACAAAGATTCGCTGCCCTTTGAGAAAAGAAATTTCTCCTTATCCCAAATCCTAAAAGATTGATCCCTTATCCTGAAGCTGTGCCTACTTGTTCTAGATTCAGGCAATTCAGAAAGCAAATTTTCACTCAGGACATTATAGAAATCCTCTTGGAAGAGTCACCGGACCCAAAATGTTAAAGCTAATTTCTCTCCACAGATGCTGCCAGTCCTGCTGAGCATTTCCAGCAATTTCTGTTTTTGTTGGTGATTGGAATTCTCCTACCTCAAATCCACAGATGCTCAATGAATTGCAGCATTCAAGATGGACATAGATTTTTGTTTTGGTAATGATATTGTGGGGTTGAACCAATAGTTGCTTCCAGAAGTTGACACACTGATCAATCATGATCTAACACAATGATTGTTGAAGTGTGGTCTGCAAACCACTGGAAGTTCACAAGGGCCTTCCAAATGCCAGCAACTGATGTGGTGATGCCATCGTCAAGATAACTGGTCAGACCCCTCGTTCCTAATATCACACAACCAGACTGGCTAGGACCAGTCTCTGTAAGTGTGAGTAATGAGAAAGTAGTTTTCTGAGCAAAATTTCTGTTACAACAAGCAACTGTGGGTTGTCAGTACTTAGTGGGGCTGAAAACAAGGAAGAGGAAGCTGGGGGCAGGGGGTGGCGGTGGGAGTTATGGCTGTGCTTGGTAGCCCATTGTGCCAGCTTTCCTTCCCTTCCACAAGTGGTCAACATATGAACATTTGTGAACCATTGACCTTCAGGCCTATGACTCTTGATGACTAATCCTGCTCCTAGTATTTTTTTCATACATTTCTAGCCCATGCAGGATTTCAGGAGAGGCAGGAATACAATTAAAGGGGAAAAAATTGATGATGTTCTCAGTCACTGCATTGATCGAAAAGAAGGGACCTGTTTTCTATTAACAATGTACACATTTCTCATTCTCAGAATGGAGAAGCAGATGCTATAACTGTGGATGGTGGAGATATATACAAGGGAGGTCTCTTGCCTGAACCACGTCTGAAACCAATTGCAGCAGAGAACACTACAGGTAACACTCATGAAATGCCGATAGCGTAACTGTTCTAAAATGATTGTGGTGCCTCCCATTTTATGTATAATGCCAATTATAATATGACTAACCCCTGAATCTGCTGAGATCAGGAGAAATGTCTTCACCCAGAGAGTGTTCAGCTTGTAGGATTTCCTGCCACAGAAAGCAGTTGAGGCCAAAACATTGAATGTTTTCAAGAAGGAGTTTGATATAGTTCTTATCAAAGGATATGGGGAGAAAGAGAGAGCAAGGTACTGAGTTGGATAATCAGCCATGATCATAATGAAGCAACTTTGAAGGACCAAATGGCTTACTCTTGCTCCTAATTTGTATATTTCTATGTTCCAATGGCACCTGCAGCTCTTCCATGTGGTGAGTCTACCACCCAAACCTGTCTTCTATTTCCCAAGTAGAACTCAACACACTGTCATTGTCTGATCACATGAGATACTGTGACATTGTGAGACCAATGTTTTGTCTGTGATTAAGAAAGATTTGAATTGGTGGCATCTGATGTGACCATCAATCATTTATAACCATTGCAATTTGCAGTAAAGTGAAATCTGCCAAATGGAAAAGCTAATTCCAGCAGTGTCCAGGTTGTAAGCTCCTGCTTTTTCCATTGGTTTCCCTTTTTATTGAGAATCATCATTGCTGTGTCTTTAGTGTTAGACTGATCCTTATCAAACCGAAACTGTTGCCAAGCATCATGTTCTTGTCCTTAGAATGGCAATTAGTGCATTGCTCCAACATAGACTTTCTCAGTTTGAAGCCAGCTGATGGATTTCTGCATGTGGCCATTTTAAGTGTTTCAATAATACATTGTAAAGAGGAGTATTTCAATTTAACAGCATATCACTTTGAGGCTGCGTCATTGTATAACCATTGAGAAGTGAGTGTGGGTAGCTGAATCCCATTTCTTATATAAAATGAAGATATCTGTGCCAGTCTTTATAATAATGGCAGCCAGCCTGGTAATAAAAGAGTTGCAGATACATAAATATTTTCTAACTTGACCAACAAACCACAACCTGGATATAGGATGTATGTGAACATAGGAAAATGATAAGGCCAGTTTTTCCCTCAAACTTCATCTACACTTGCGATGGTTGGAGTACAATAATGCAAAAAATCCTATCTTTCAGCCACTAGGTAATCTCCTGAGGGGAAGAAATCCCACAGCTAATGAAGGAAAACAAAATCTGAGCAACTTCTGTCTGTAAATCCATCTATACAGCAATCTTGGAGCACGTTACTGCAGATACTAGAATCTGTACTGAAAACAAAAAATGTTGGAGATCACAACATGTCAGGCAGCATCCACAGAGAGAAAGCAAGCCAACATTTCGAATCTAGATGACTCTTCATCAGATTGACAGATTTCTCTCAATTATTTATTCTCAGTTCCCTGTTTATCATATACTAAGGCACCCAAGCAATATTATCACTTCAAATTTGTTTCCAGAACTATTTTCAAAGTTTTTATGAGCATCGTATTCTCTCAGCTGCACAACATTTACAAAAGTTAGCAATATAGTACAGGTGTGGGCAAAGATTCCATTATGATTGAGAATGCATCGTATATTACAGGAGGCTCCTGCTACTATGCTGTGGCAGTTGTAAAGCAAGGGAGTGACTTTGGCTTCAGAAATCTATCGGGCAAAAGATCTTGCCACACTGGCATTGGTAAATCTGCTGGCTGGATCATCCCGATTGGAACCATTCTGAGATACAACTTAACATCTTGGAAAGGAACAACTCCAATTGAGGAAGGTAAATGTTATTTTTTTTTGTAAAAAGTCTTGAAAATTTAATAATGTTTGAGTCAATTTGTCCGATTTCATTTGTGGAGAATTGAGCTTAGTTGTTGGGAGACAGATTTCACAAAGTTTTGAACCATGTTAATGTGTCACATCCTGGGAAAAGGTATGATGAGTTGTGATGAATGGAATAGAATCAGAAAATGAGATAGAAAAAAATAACTGGAAGTAATTGTACATCTGTCAATATGTAGTTCACATGGTGGAATGATTATAAAGCTAATCAAATTGAGGGATGTGGAAATAGTTCAGTACTTCCGAAAAAAATCTTTCTGTTCTGGGTCTGTCATTAGATTCTCCTTCAGTGATGATTACTGGTACTGGCCAGTCTAAAATAAATAATTTCAATTCAGAAAAATAAGCTTCTCTTGCTGTTTCTGGATGTCTTTTATTCTCTCTATCCCTTTGACGTTGCTCTTTTTCCTTTGTTTCTCGCTTATTTACTACCTTCTCTTATCTCTTCACCTTTCTACTGCACCTTTCTATCTTAACCCCTTCTTGTTCCTTCCCTTTTGCTTCCCTCACCTTCCACCCCTTTTGTCTTACAACTTTGCATACCCATCTTTCCTTCTTTCATTTCTGCCACTCTTTCTGCTTCCCGCTACAACCCTATTCTCTCTTTCTTTTTGTCTTCTATATCCCTTTCTTGTTTCTACTTTTAATCTCACTGTCCATCTATACATCAGCTTTTGTTCTTTCTTTCATCATCCTTTCCTTTCCCTTCTTTCCTACTCTCTTTCTTTACTCTTTTTCATTGGAGTGGATGTCATTGGCAAGGCCAGCATTTATTGCTCATCCCTAATTGCCCTTGAGAGGGTGATGCTGTGCTGCCTTCTCAAACTGATGTAATCCATGTGGTGTGCGTAAGCCATTTTGACCCAGCAATACCAAAGGAACCAAAAGTCAGGATGGTGAGAGGCTTGGAGAGGAACTTCCAGCCAGTGGTGTTCCCATGTGTCTATTTCACTTCTCCACTTCATAAATCCCTACAGCATGGGACCAGGCCATATCGACCCTCCAAAGAGTATTCCACCCAGATCCACCCCCTACCCTATCCCTGTAACCTTGCATTTCCCATGGCTAACCCACATAGCCTGCACATCCCTGGACCACTATGGGTAATTTAGCATGGCCAATCCACCCTAACCCGCACATCTTTGTGGGAAGAAACCTGAGCACCTGGTGGAAACCCACACAAACACAGAGAGAACATGCAAACTCCACACAGACAGTCGCCCAAGGGCAGAATCGAACCTGGGTCCCTGGTGCTGTGAAGCAGCACTCATCTAAATGGCAAAATTTGTGTTTGTGACGTGCTGTTGATAAAGCTTTGGTGAAGTGCTGCCATGTGTCTTGGAGATGTTTGTCTGTCTCTTTCCAATCTATTGTTTTATTTTTCTATGTTTTGCTTTCTCTTCCTACTTCTCTCTAATTTCAACTTTAGCTGGTTGATACGAGCTAACTCATCTTTTTTTGTTATTTCAATCATTATTTGCTTTTGTCTCTCTCCCGCCCTTTGCTTTGCCTTCTCCTACCTTGCCTCTGTCTTTTCTCCTTTTTTACATTTGCTCCCCTCCTTCTTTTCTTTCCTGTTTCTCTATTTCCTACAGAGTCATTGAGTCATAGAGCTGTACAGCATGGAAACAGACCCTGCAGGCCAACTCATCCATGCTGACCAGATATCCTAAATTAATCTAGTCCCATTTTCCAGCATATGGCCCACATCCCTCTAAACCCTTCCTATTCAAGTACCCATCCAGATGCCTTTTATATATTGTAATTGTACCGGCCTCCACCACTTCCTCTGGCAGTTCATTCCATACATGCATCACCCTCTGCATGAAAACGTTGCCTCTTAGGCCCCATTTAAATCTTTAACCCCCTCACCGTAAACCTATGCCCTCTAGTTTTGGACTCTCCTACCCTGGGGAAAAGACCTTGACTGTTCATCCTATTCATGCCCCTCATTATTTTATAAACCTCTATAAGGTCACTCCTCAGCCTCCGACACCCCTGAGAAAATAGGCCCAGTCTATTCAGCCTCTCCCGACAGTTCAAACTCTCCAAACCTGGCAACATCATTGTAAATATTTTCTGAACTCTTTCAAGTTTCATAATATCTTTCCTACAGCAGAGAAACCAGAATTGAATGCAGTATTCCAGAAGTGGCCTAAACAATGTCCTGTACAGCCACAACATGACCTCCCAACTCCTATACTCAATGCACTGACCAATAAAAGCAAGTGTACCAAACACCTTCTTCATTACCCTGTCCCCCTGCAATTCCACTTTCAAGGAACTATGAACCTGTGCCCCAAGGTCTCTTTGTTCAACAACACTCACCAGGACCTTACCATTGAGTGTATAAGCCCTCCTCTAATACAACACCTCACATTTATTTAAATGAAACTTTATCTGCCCCTCCTTGGTCCATCGGCCCATCTGCTCAAGGTCACCTTGTAAACTGAGATTGGCTTCTTCACTTTTGAGCTGATTTATTTTCGTTGAAGCCATGACTGAATGGGAGCAAAAGGTTGGGTGAAGAGGCTGTGATGGGACCAGATGAGGCTGTTGATGACAGACAGGAAATAGACTGGACCTTCAGGTTAGCACTGGGAGGCAGTACACCATGGTTGACAGAGGAACAGCAGACATTTGGAGGAATAAGCTAGGGTTTAGACACCAGAAATCCATTCTAATTAAGGCCTTTTGGTTCACTTTGATAAAGTATTCGTCTTTCAATTCCTGTTTGAGTTTTTGCTCAGTCATGCACAGCTATCTTTTCACCTGCACTTTGTTTCCATTTTGCCTCCAGTTGTACAAAACTTCTTCTCCTCCAGCTGTGTCCCAGGTGCCAGTCCAGATTTCCCAAAACTGTGTGCACTGTGCAACGGGACAGAAGGGAACCATTGCAAGAAATCACACGTTGAACCCTACTACGGTTACTCGGGAGCATTTCAGTAGGTATTCCTCATATTGGAAGACAGAGTTTATCAGAACTGTCTGTAGATCAGCAAATGCCATTTCTCTGGTTATTAGGTGCACTCAGAAGAATTAAATTCAAATCTGTTCCTCTTTAATTGCTTGATATTGAAAACTTCTGAGCAATGTATATCATGGAATTGTAATATCATGGTGGCAAGTATGCAGAAATAAAAGAAAGAATGCTCAAATACTCCTCAGGTCAAGCAGCATCTGTGGAGTGAGAAGTATATGAACATGCAAATTAAGGTCAGGAATAGCCTTCTCTCCTGTTCAATGAAGTAGTGGGTGCTGTGATAGTACCATTTACTTGCCTACCCCCAATATTCTTTTTGTCCCTTGTTAGTCAAGAATCTATCTACCTCTGCCTTAGAAATATTCAATGATCCTTCCCCCATCGCTCCCTTATGAAGACCCCGCGGTCTTAAATGAGAGATCCCTTATTTTTAAACTGTGTTCTATTGTTCCATTCTGTCGAGATAAAGGAAACATAAATTTAGCATCCATCCTGCCTGGTCCTGTCAGGATCGCATACGGCTGAGGGGTGACCTTATAGAAGTTTATAAAATCATGAGGGCATGGATCATGTAAATCGTCAAGGTCTTTTCCCTGGGGTGGGGGAGTCGAAAGCTCAAGGGCATAGGTGTAAGGTGAGTGAGGAAAGATTTAAAAGGGATCCAAGAGGTAGCTTTTTCATGCAGAGGGTGGTGTGTGTATGGAATGACATGCCAGAGAAAGTGGAGGCTGGTACAATTACAACATTTAAAAGGCATCTGGATGGGTACATGAATAGCAAGGGTTTAGAGGGATATGGGCCAAATGTTGGCAAATGGGAGTTGGTTTATTCAGGATATCTGGTCGGCATGGATGAGTTTGACCGAAGGGTCTGTTTCCATGCTGTACAGCTCTATGACTCTAGCCAAAGTAGTACATCCAATTCTGCTTATTACATTGCAAGAAGGATGTGAGCGTCCATGAGACAGTGCAGAGAGGTTTCACAAAATGACTCCACAAATGATGAGGCATTTTAGTGATAAGGATATGTTGGGAGAAGCTGAGCTTGTTTTCCTTGGAGCAAAGGAGATTACGTGGAACTTGACTGAAGTGTACAAGATCACAGAAGGTTAACAAAGGAGGAAAATGAAAATCTGTTCCTATTACTTGATTGCATAAGGACCAGTTGTTTCAGATTTAAGATTTTGGACAAGAGATACAGGAGAGGTGTGAGAAGAACATTTTTATGTACTGAATAATCTGGAACTCACTGTCCACAAGGGTGGTGGACGTGAAATCAGTAATGAATGACTTCAGAAAGAAATTGGATGGGAACAGGAAGTGGGCACAAGGACAGAACACGGGAATGGGACCAATTGGACCTCTCTTCAGAGACCTGGAATGGGCTCATTAAGTTGCTGCTGTAATGGCTCTTAAACACACTAGGGATAAACTAAAGCAATGACATTGCTTGACTGCATATTTTTCAGCGTTCAAACATGCTAAACACTTGTGCAAACAGTTTGCCATGTTTTAAACATCTTCTACTATTCTGTAACAGAAAGGAGACTTCCTTTTTTATTTTTAAGAAAATGTATTCATTCAGGAAATGTGGACCAGCATTGAATGCCCATCCCTAATTGCCCTTGAGAAGGTGCTGGCGAGCTGCCTTTGTAAAGTGCAGCCGTCCATTTGGTAAACTGGTTTGTAAACTGCTCATAATGATAAATCGGTCTCTATGGTTTTATCTTTCTAGATGTTTGAAGGACGGTGCTGGTGAAGTGGCCTTTGTGAAGCATAGCACAGTGCCAGGTAGGTGCACCATTTCTGGGGTTCTTCCCTTGGACAAAGATTGCTTTACAACTGGTGGGCAAAGAAAACCCTCAGCATGGGGTTGGAAGGGGAGGCGAGTGGGAAAGGTATATAGGAAGTCTTGACCATGGTCTTGTAGAGTCTGGACATCAAAATGCATGCCATCTTAAGTACATTGACTTTGTCCTATCTTACAAGGTTCAACTGATCTGCATCAAAGTGTTCTCAAGGTCAGCCATCGCAGTGAAGTGAGGCTTAATCCCTGCAAAGGACGATAGCGAAAGGGATCATGAACATAGAGAACCCAATTCAGAGTGTTTTCAGTTCTCATCCACTGCAGTGCCCCTGCGTTTGTCAGAACCCCACCTTGTCTCCCTAGGGCTGCATCTACTGAAGCAGCTGGAGAAATTTTTAATAGAGTCCCAACCAGCCAGAGTCAGAGCAGGGATGTGAGCAGACTGCCTCCATGTCTGCTAAAACAGCAGGAGTTATACAATGGAGTGGGACAAGTAGAAATTTCTGCACTTGCACAAATAAGTGTGTGATGAAATATAATGTGATAAAAGACCTGTTTCATTAAACTTCATTAGGTTATTTTTTGGCTTCACTTACCTATCTTGCCCATTCAATTGCTCTTTAACTTCGTTGGTGTTGAAAAGGGAAGTATTAAATAATGGGGACCAATGAGGGGAACAGAAGTGATCTTCAGGATTGCTTTGCATCAATGTTAGTGGGAGAGGAATAAGAAAACCCACCATTATATGTTCTTCTGATATAAACTCATCACTGCAACTTAATGGACCCCTGAATGCTGTGTGGCATGTCAGCTGGTGCATATATTAGGCTTGTTACTTTCCTTCTCCTGGAATTAGGTATGACTGTCAGGGAGTTTTTTTCTGTGATTGTTTCAGAGTTTTGTATCAGCGACATTGCGTTGTGACTGTGTCAGTGTGTTGTCTCTGTCATTGTCTCAGTGTGTTGTATTATTTGCACCTTCATTTGCTAAATGCTTATATATACTGTCAATCAATATTTGCCAAATTCTGACATCTAATTATTGTTACCTGGTCTGAGGCTGGGTTGCTGGCTTGGGCAATGATGCACAAACCTATCTGATCATTCATCTTTCCCAATTGCTGTGCCCAGCTGCTGAGAGACAAAACTATGAGCTCCTGTGCCTGGATGGATCCCGAAAGCCAGTGGAAAATTACAAGGAATGTCACTGGGCAAAGGTGCCGGCTCATGCCGTGGTGGTGAGAAGTGGGAGCGCTGATGATGAGAAGACCGAGGTGGTTTGGAGATTCCTATCAAGAGCTCAGGTACAACCAAGTGGTTAATGGCATTTGTAAGTTTCCTCTTGAACCTGCCCTTCAATGTCAGCACCAGTTTTAAGTCAGATCCAGACTCTGAAAAGAGAGAATGGCATGTACCACGTGTGACTGGGTAGCTGGCCTGTCAATAAAGCCTTTGATGAAGATCACAGATATGTAGCAACTTCTGCCAATTGTTTCTGTACCAAGCCTAACTGCACGGAGAACATATTCATGCTAACCCCATTTCGTTTCTGTTTTTTTCCAGAAGAGTATGCCCAATAGGTTTCCTTCTGTGACCTAAAGTTTTCACGGGCAGAATATTTCAAATAGCAGAGCTTCCCAGATCCCCATTGATATCAAATGCCCCAAAGCCATTTAGTGCTTGGCAGGGCAATGTTTCAGGGTGCCCCCCCGCCCCGTGTTTGGAGAACTGGACCTGTATGTCATGTCCTAGCTGGCTTGTCGTAGCCATGTGACCTCTACCTCCAATGTACCTTGCTTTCATTACTGGGTGGGGCTGTCTGGCAAGAATTAATGGGAGGAGGAGAGGTTCTGAGCTTGAGATGCCAATGAGGGGAGGGTTAATGGGGGTATGATCTTGAGCGAGGGGGGTGTAGTACAGTATCCACTGGACAGAAGGATGCCCAATTCAGATACCTCTTGCCTTCCATCAACCCACCTAGCTAAAGCTGCTAGGCTACCTTATGGTTCTTGCTAGGTCCCAGGCTGGATGCGCTTCAAGTAACATTGACAGAGTACCAACTTCAAACTTGAGATTACACTTTTCGCAAAGCAGATATGAGTTTTATTCATGAAGGGTCCACACCTGAGATCTGCATCCATCAGTTCTCCCTGCACCCACTGGCTTACTTTTGGTTATTTCCAGCATATTTGTTTCCTGGGTTCAGTTGTTCTGCTTTTATGCTTTTATCTTTTGTTTTTGAGTTGAGGATCTTTGTGGGCAGATAGGAGAACATTTTGCTCTTAATGTTAAACTTGATCACCAGAAGAGAGTCAGCAGAACATTATCAAGAACTGCAGATGTTGGAGTCAGAGATAACCCAGTGTGGAGCTGGAGGACCACAGCAGGCCAGGCGGCATGAGAGGAGCAGGAAAGTTAATGTTTCGGCTTGGGACCCTTTTTCTGAAGAAAGGTCCTGACCCGAAACATCAACTTTACTGCTCCTCTGATGTTGCCTGGCCTGCTGTGTTCCTCCAGCTCCGCACTGAGTTATCTCAGCACAGCATTGCCTGCCATTAAGTGTTCTTGCATTGAAAATGTGGCCAAGGTGAATTATTTCTGCTGGAATTTAAAAAAAAATAAAGCGTGCTTGCGTTTTAAGAGGACCGCTGAATTTTTCCATGTGTTTTCCAGGGATTATTTGGGCCATTGAATAAAAGCCCTTTCAATCTCTTCAACTCAACAAAATATGGACAGAAGGATTTGATGTTCAAAGATTCAACACAGAACCTTATTCAGCTCCCAACTGGGATGGATTCTTTTCTATACCTTGGCAGTGAATATGCAAATGCTGTAAAGATTCTTCAAAATAGTAAGTGTTTGATGAAGATTCATATTAAACACCCTCCCCTTAGGAATCTTTGGTTGATATCCTAATACAAGTGCCAGGATGTTTGGCTGCTGGCACCTTCTGCAAGTCTAAGGATCAGGGGAAGCTCCCAGCATGTGATGGAGATGCCCATTCGTGAGATTTTGGGCAAGGCTGTTGCACTGGAGCCTCCCCAGAGCCATAAGTGTGCTGTCCATCAGAATACATACCACATGCATATGCAGTCAGATGGTATAGTGAATTCTTTCAGACAGCAAAAAAACAAATTAGATTCAGATTTTATCTGGGACCTTCATTAGCAATTGCCGTCAAAGTACGTTTTTTGAACTGCAACCAAGCCAGTCTTCCAATCTTGGTTAAGTATGGTGAAAAGAGCTCCAAGTACAGTTGCCACAGCTGATGCCTCAGGTCATAGAGAAAGCATTATTTTCTGAAAGCAATATCGCAACGGTTGCCGAATGCATAACCTCCAACATTTGTTATATCACCATCAATGTAGAAAGTGGTAGCGGTGTATTAAAGTTCACATAGGATGTCTGAATCAACACACATTTTTACCTGCTTATTGTAGTATGGAGCTATGGGAGTGATGGTAGAGTCTCCAATGCTCTTTCTATCATATGTTTGACTAGGAATCTTTCCCTATCTTACTGCTTGCCATTGATATGTGCTTGAGGGATTTGTAGGTTTATACTCAGTCTGTTTAGCTACAGTATGAACAGGATGCTTTCTGTAGCTTTCAAGTTGTGGGATAATACTTAAACTTAGAGACAGGAATGTCACGCACCATTATGGTATCTCCATAGTTGCAGGAAAGTGTTAATAAATAATCGAGGCAGATTCTGGAGCTCAGCCCCATTAAGGTGAATGCTGTGAACTGTGTAATGCAGTTTGAATTGCTTTTTTAAAAATATATCCATTTACTTATTTTGTTCCACGTCACCGGATTTTTCCTGAACTTGTCCGTGTTTTACTGTTTTTGATGAAGATTAAATTGGGAATGGTATGAAAGCGACACTGTGCTCAATCCCAACAAGGATCCTTGGTAAGGAATCTATTGGGAAGACCTCAGTTGATTTTTCATCTGCCTTGTCTCACGGTGCTCAATCTAACTTGTACTCCTTTTGTTCTTCACACAAAATCTACTAACTACGATAATAATGTTTTGTGGTACAGTAAATGAATAATTTGAGGCTTGACGTGATAAGTGGAGAATGCTTCGGAAGTGACTGTGACTTTGGGGCTATGGTTCTTAAAGCTGTAGCCCATTGGGATTTCCCTTGACTTAAGCCTGTGTCTGCTGTAACTCTATTAGTGGAGACTAATAGCCATGATTAGTCAACAACTCTATTGTTATTGTATCAACTTATTATCAGGTTGGTACTGGACGAGCTCAAAAGAATTCGGCCTCTTTTCACTTCACAATTCCAAAGTTCATAAAGCTGCAGTGTGAAATCTAAGATGTTTTACCCTGTATAGCTTGTTCCGCAGTGACTTTATCCAATGGCAGACAATGATGTTCCTAATTCCTTCATTGTATTACAGGATGCTGGAGGTACGGATTTGTTAGTTTGTACGTTATTAACAAACCATTTCTACAGGGACTCATCGAATGCCTGTTTCAGTCTATAAATTATAATTTACTAAAGCATTATAACAACCAGTTCAAATGTTTGTATTGCAGAAAACAAGAGTGCCTCGAATCCTTCTAAGATACGCTGGTGTACTATTGGAGCTCTTGAACAAAAGAAGTGTAACAGCTGGGGGGCAGTAAAATGTGTTATGGGCCTCAGTGCTGAAGACTGCATCAAAAAGATTATGGTGAGTGACAGCAATGTTATACGCCATTCTTTTAGGGGGCTGATTGAATGTTCTGTTTGTAAAATTAACATTCTCCCATCCTTTAGACCTTGAGATTGAGTCCAACACAAGTGAGTAAGATTCCATTTTGATTGCTAGAAGCTTAAAACCAGGAGTATTACTACCATGGCTACTGGAATAGGGCAGTAGCTGGCTACTCTGTGACAATAACTGACTAAACTCTTAGCTCCTCAAAGCTTTCCTACCATTTATAGTTCAGGCGAGAAGATGATGGAACACTGAATGGGTGTTGTCACAATATAGCTCAAGAAATTCAATGCCACTCAAAATAAGCAGCTAATCTGACCGACCCTCATATCACTGAACTCAAAACTCAAAACCATCTCTGTAAGGACTTTAAGTGATTCAAGGAGAAACCCACTTTGTCAGAGTCAACTAGAAATGGACACAAAAACGCAGCCTTGGTAGCATCACTCCATTCCAAAAATAAAGTAAACATATACAATGGATACATTTAATTTATCATCCCTACCTTGTCCATTTCAAGGTACACCTCTCCTTTAAGCTTTGTTATTCTAAGAATCATCCCAGTCCAACTTCATTTACTGCCTCCTCCCCTCTCCAACATCCACCTTCTGAAAATAAACAACCTCTATTCTTGTCTTCTTACTCACAAGCAAATTTTATCCTGCTATGGCTTCAGTTCCCAGAGATTCTTGAATTGTAACTCATTCAATTATTTTTATTTGTTACACAAAAATCTTATGGATGCTGACTGTCCCTGAAGTCTCTATTTTATCATTGTTTCAGAATGGTCTAATGGCAACAAATAGCTTGAGGAAATCTATAAACTTCTTGGCAAGTTGAGAACATTGTGATCCTGGGCTAGATCTACAGTGGGGAGGAGTAGATTATAGTCTCTCACACACTAAATGATTAACTTCAAGTGTGGAGAGAAGCTTTTGGATCTATGCTACAGAAGAAAGGAAGGAGATAGAGAGAGAGAATCTAATTAAAACTTGTAATTGCAGTTTGGAGATGCTGATGCAGCAAGTTTTGATGGAGGAGAGGTCTATACTGCAGGAAAGTGTGGTCTTGTTCCAGTCATGGCAGAGTATTATAATAAAAGTAAGTATATTTCATACTGTTCAAAATTACTATCATTATTATGTGAATTGGAGGTTCAAACAGCATTTAGAAAGGATCCTTGTGTTGACATCACTGGGACCTGAACTCAATTGGTCCATCTCAAGCTAGTCTACGAGTGAATATAACGTGGAACCCCCAATAATATGGAATGAAAAAAGGCAAATTAAATACAGTCTTTTTCCTTCGATAGATAGACTCCCTGTCATGGATTCTTCTCCAGCTGTTTTCATACCTCGGGGGAATTATATATTAAAATACACAAAAATAATCAAACAAAAAAAAATTCGTCACATCTCTACTGTTCAACCTTGCCTTTTATCCTCCACAGAGGTGCATAAAACCCATTATGAAAGCTCATTGAATTTGACAAAGGGTAAATAATCTCATGTATGTTAAGGAGCAGTGAGGGGCAAACATGACTGGACTGTGTGCAGGAAGGTTTCCTAAGCAACTAAAAAAGATACACTGTTGGACCTGGTTCTTGAAAAGATGTTGGTCAAATTGAGCAAGTGTGAGTGGGGGCAATATTTAGGAGACAGTGGTCATTGTATCATAAGGTTCAGGAATATAGTGGAGAATGACAAAACAAAGAAAAAGTAAATAAACATTAATTGCTGGATCCCTGACATCAATGGGCAAGGACAGAGCTAGGCAAAAATGAGTGGTGGTAGGGCAAAAAGCTGAACAGCGAAAGAGCAGGTAGTTCAGATAAGGTTGAGGTGTACTGCCTGTAAAGAGACAAACAAGTCCAGAGGTCCCTGGATTTCAAAGGAGATAGAAAGTAAGATAAAGGAAAGAGAGTGCCTATGACAGGTGGCAGGTAGAAAATGCAGTTGAGAACTACGCAGAATACAGAAGGTTCAGAAGGGAGGTGACAAAGCTGATAAAAGAAGCAAAGAAAAATGATGAGAAATGACCAGCAGCCTACATAAAGGGGAATCCCCAAACCTTCCAAAGGTAGATAAATCATAAAAGAGTGGTTAAAAAGAGGAGTAGGACCAATTAGAGACCAGAAACGGGGTTTACACATGGAGACATTCGGTGTGGCTGAATTCCCAAATGAACATTGCATTACCGAAGAGGGAGATACTACCTAGGGTGTGGTGACAGAAGAGGAAGCTCTATCACTAGGAAAGGTCCAAATCGATAAGGAAGAAGCATTGGATAACTGTTGAAGATCCCAAGAACTGCAGATGCTGGAGTCAGAGTCAACACAGTGTGGAGCTGGAGGAACACAGCAGGCCAGGC